TCTCTGTGCACTTCTTTTTTCTTTTTTACCTTTAAACATACCATAACTAATATTTTTAATTGTGGCGCTTTTTGTTGGAGAAAAAATGAAGCTCCGTTCGATGCTATATAGCGACAAAATGCTCAAACTAGTAGTCAAAATTACCAACTGTTGAATTCAGCTAACAGTTTGAGCGTTTTACCACTGGCTCAATTAGTGCCCTCTATATCCTGAACTAAGCTTCACTTTTTCTCCACAAGAGGTGTCACAGTCACCCGTATACAGTAATAGGATCTATTCCTGCTCGGTATAGAAATTTTAGGATCTAAGGAAAGCGTGCAGGAGTAGGTCTCATTACTGTATACATATGTTCATATACATACACGTATGTGCATATACGTATATGTATATGTGGCGTTACAGCCAGGAAATCAGGAGGTGCTTGGCCTGGCAGCAGCTTCCACTGCCGGACGCCAAGAGGCGTCCGCAGAAGCAAATCCTCACGCTACAGCTCGTCTACATTATATTTACAAGCACACGAGAACCGACGCGCGCCTTTCCATCAAAGTGTATAGCATTGTATATAGCCCTTTAAAAACATTAGTTATGGCATAATTGGTGTAAAAAAGTTAATCAAGTGCACAGAACTGTTCTGGAGAATCTATTGTATCGATGTCATGTGAAAAATATAGATGACAACACCGCGAAACATATTAACGTAATAGTTAATGAGTTCTTAGAATAATATACATGTAGAAGCAAGGACTCATATAGTGAGGAGCACACTGTATGTAGCACACAGCGTTTTCAACAATTTATTGCTTTGACATTTGAAGCGGCTTTGCCAGTCGATAAAATGGGTAAGATGAAAGATATAAGCACAGACGAAGATATAACTGTAGGCACGCTTTCCTGTATCGTGAACGATTAATATTTTCTTTAAGTAACAACAGTCAAATTGATTAATTACTGTCACTTTATTTATCAATTTCGTCGTTGAGGTTAGTTAAGTACATTTGAGATAGTCAACAAACTGAAGCGTCATCGCCGACTAAAATCCAGGCTGGCATCTAACATGAAAATATTTTGCGGGAAATTTAAAAATCGGAATATGTATTCATGTTCAGTTTCATTTGTCTTGTAAAGATTTTCATGCTTATAGTGTTAATATCTTTTTAGAAACTAACGAAATATCTCCACAAAAGAGGCACAAAAAGCACAAACACAAGAAACATAAGAAGAAGAAACCAGCACACGATGAGGGTGAAAGTTTTGTCAATGTCTGCGTTGAAACGGAAAAGAAGAAAGCATTTAGAGTTAAAATAAAAAAGGATGATGATAAAGGGTAAGTAAAATAAGAATATGTTTGATCAGTAAGCATAAACATGTAAATGAGAAAACAATATAATGTCCTACTGCATTGTAGATTAGAGAAGCCTCGTGAGAAAGTACTAAAGACAGCTAATCTCAGTGTTGCTGGTTCAAGTACTGCACCATCGCCAAAAGCCACGGCGAAGAAAAAAGTACTGAAGGGCAATAAAGGTAAAGACAGTGGTACCAGCAGCGAAGAGGAGCGCTGGCTTGATGCTATTGAGTCTGGAAAACTGGAAGAAGTAAATTTATAAACGTGTTTACAAATTCTATTAGCCTAACAAAAATCTATAAATTCAGTCTGTTCTAGGTTGACGATGAGTTAAAGAAAATTAAACCAAAGGATCCAAAATTAATGACAGCCCGTCAAAGAGCCATGTTTGAAAGGAAGACTGATACAGAACCGCACGCAGGTGTGGAACAACTTATGTCACTACCAACTGGTTACAAAGAAAAAGTTATGACAGCAGAAGCTATACAAAAGGCTGCTCTAAAGTCATTAAAAAGAAAGCAACTGGCCGATGAGAAGAGAGAGAAAGATAAGGTATATTTCTTATATTTCATCTAATCAAATTATTCGCTTCGATCTAATTACTTTCATGTCTACAGAAAAAAACAATGGAAAGGCTATTGAAGAAACAAGAATCTAAAGCCTCCAAAGTTATTAGTAAAGGAAAACCTTCCAGGAGGCAAGTTCCTTTAATCACATATCGTTTAACGGTTGAAAGGAGTTCAATATCCTTGCCGCCAGGAGAGGATTTCCCATTACAGCCTACTCAGGGGTGAGTAGTAATTTACTCGAAACGTTTAACATCAAAATTTCAAACGTCCAACATCGTACAATTTTCTATTTTCAGGAAAGTTCCTCCGTTTCCGATACTTTGCGGCGTGAACGAGTGCAAGAACCCGAAAAAGTATTCATGCTCAAAGACTGGAGTGCCACTGTGCAGTTTACAATGTTACAAAACTAATTTAGCGACAGCCACATGAGCATAAATATTGTTCAATTAGAATTATATGAAACCAGTTCTTTCAGACTCACTTTATCAGCGAATTAACAATTACAAATATTTCTTATTAGTTTACTACCTCACATTTTCAAGAGATTAATCCTTGGATGATAGTGTTCAGGTCCACTGTGACCCAGCGTTTCAAAGCCACTAAATCTCAGCAAGCTCAAATAATACGATTCTAAAAATTGTCAAATAAAACACGCTTTCCAAAGGTTAGCGTGGTGCATAACGCATTTGTATATACAGTAAAACTTGTTAAGAAAAAATTAGCTTAAAATTCGAACGTCACCGACCCTTGTAAATACCGTTGTATACGCGATCCACCTGTGTTTAGATAAGTCGCACAGCTGGCTGTTTTGCAGCGTCCATTTGGCACATTCGATCTCAGCGGAATGTATTGACCAAATAAAACCAGTCAGAAACGTGTTGTGTGATACTCATTCGTGGTGCACTCGATGACCGGTTTCCGATGTACCGTTATCAAATTCGGCGGCGGGCAGGTACCGACGTCGCGAGGTGCAGTGTCTTCCGACGTGACGAAAAAATCTGAATGTGCATCGAACAGAACTTGCGTAACTGGGACTAGCCTAGGCCTTGCTTTCACCACCCAAGATAGATCCAACCGAGTCGACGTTTGATCGTGAACCGCGTAACATCGCGCCCGTCCATTTCCTGGGTCATCGTTTGGCTCGTGATCCGCGATGATAACGTCGCGATCGATATAGATCAACGACCCTGCCGCCGAGACCCGGGCCACTCTGGGCTACAATGCCACGGTGCGACCTTCTCGTGGTCATCCTCGCGGTGCTCGTATCCTCGGGGACGTCCACGTCCCAGACACGGGGTGAGAAATCCAATTTGTCAAACACAGTGCAACGAATATTTTCATTTTCTTCGTTATCCTAAGATTTTTTCTTTTTTAATGGAAAATTTCGACCGAGCGTGTCAAAAGTTCTCGAAGACCGACGACGAGTGCTAGTTCGAGCTTCGTTAATCGCGATTCTGAAAATCGTGAAATAAACGTCTATTTCTGCGGACGTCCGAGCAGTGTTTTAATTAATTAGTTGACGCGCGATTGTGTCGAGAAGTTAAAGGATATTGCGCTTTCGTGTACGCGTTCGCGAACGGTAGACGTTTCGCATTTTCGTGAAAGTCGAGTCTTTTTCGCCACTCATGAAAATCGAGAGAATCAGAGCGCGATGAGATTTCTGTTTTGTGCAACTCGGTCTCGCGCGATCGCGATCGCTAAATGGTACGATTTTGTTGTAATTGTTGTCTGTAAAAAAAAAAAATATTAGATGACGATCATCACGAGTGCCTGCGTCCGTGTGCCAACGAGGCGTCGTCGAAGAAGCTCTGCCGTTACGAGTTCTTCGTCAGCGAGTTGCCTGCCGTTATGAGGTGAGACCGGAACCGCAGAAAGAAAAAAACGAAAAAAGAACACATTCTGCAAAGTGAACGCTTTTAAATCGTACGAGAGAAAAACGTGGCTCCACGCACGGTCGTCTAATAAAAATAAAAAGCGGCAATGTCGACGGCCGATGCAGAATTTCTATTTCGCAAGCAGCGATACGATCGACGAAATTCAAGCGGACTTTAAGCCGTGCAGTTTTTCCACGGTAACGAACCTGTTCCGATCTCGGTCAATCTCTTCGCCAAGACGAATATATAATCTATCGTGAGATCTTAGCAAACTAACGGTTGACACAGTTGGCTACGGAGTGCATCTCGGATTTTTATGATAGCTAACAGGTTTTGATACCACCACACGCGGCCGCGTACACGTGCAACCGTGTTGGGACCAGTAAAGCGAGATAATAGCCTCGTTCACGGCGAATCCTGTAGCGCGAGAATAACTATCGTAGCCGTTTCCTTCGTGGCCAAGTTCGAAGCGTGTTTACTTAACGTTCGAATCATTATAATCGCGTTTAGAGGTATTCCCCGACATCCGAACGTGATTAGGCACCTACTTTTACGATTTCTCTGCGACCGTGATTGATGGGATCGGTGTCGCCTCATTAATCTACCTGGAAAGCGGCCATTTGCTTCATTGGATGTGTCTAACGATCGCGGAGATTGTATTTCGTAGACAATAATTGTCGTCGTTTATCGGATACCTGTAATTGCCGTAACGATCGCGTTTTTGTTTCGGTTCGGTTTCGGCGGTATTCGCGAAATTTCAACACGTTTTTTCTGCGAGAGAAAGATCAATTTTTAAGGAAAAATATGTTCTCGATGTTCGCAGTAATAGCAACCGATCCGAAAGCGAGTCGATGATCCCGAAGAACAGCTTTTTGCGAATCAACGGGAAGAGTCCAGGTCCTCGGATAGAGGTAATTAGGAGCGAAACGAAATTATTCACCCTGCTCGTTAGTACTAGCTTGCGAGATTTCTGAAACGAGACGATGATTGATATCCACAGGTCTGTGCTGGCGATACGATCGAGGTACTACTGTACAATCGATTGGGATCACAGGAATTGTCTTTCCACTGGCATGGACTGAGACAAAAGGGTTCGTCTCATATGGACGGCGTCTCGATGGTCACGCAATGCTCGATATTACCGTTTGGTGGTTTTCGGTACAAATTGAAGTCGGAAAGCGCTGGCACGTTTCTTTACTACGCGCATCTAGGTGAGCGAATGACATCCGTATACTGCGGATTTTTATGCAAAATAAAAGTTGCCCGCATTAATTGCAAGATACAGAAGCTGCACAAATGTTTCTTTCAGTCTTGAATTATTTTACCGATTTGAAATAACTCAATACTATTTTTATATTTTTTAAATGTTTCCACTGTTTTGTATTTGATCCACTAGTTTTTGTCATAAATGCACAGACTCGTCAGATTGCTACCATTTTAAGATAAAGAACGATTTTCGTAACGTTTCGCCTACCAGTTACCTTTTCTTTTGAGACGTTATTACTCGGAAGAAAATTCTCGACAAAATATAAAAATATTTTCTTTATCTCATCTTTTAATTCGAACGTCATTAGCACTGACAAATTATTTAATCTTCTCACGCATTTAGAAATTTGTTTCGTGCCAGAACGAAATTTTGAAAGGAATTCTTTATTACGTAAAAAAAAATACAATAGGATGTCGAAAAGTGAAAGAGAACCATTCTGCTATAAATTTAAATTTTTATTGCAACTTTGTACTTTCTCTTCGTAAAACTGCGTTAAACTATCGTAGTCCTCTAATAATCTGTCGCTGAAAAAATAATTAAATAAAATGGTAGATTAAGCTCAGCGATGCTGTCGGTCGACGTCAGCGATTTTTCGTTTACAATAATTCATTCACAATTTCGAATCGTTTCGAAGTTGTTCGAGTCGACTTGTTCGAATCGACCGCAAGTTTCCCGCGCTGTAGAACGGCTTCTACTTCCGGCAGGAGAAACAAAATCAAAGTAGATCAATAATGTTGGAACCGGGTAGAAGGTAGGTTACACGGTTACTCCCTTTTGCAGTCGGCGCAAGGAGGGCAGAGTTGCAATACGTAACCAGCACCAGGAACCAGTGCCGTTTCAAATACCCTTCGCTTAATTGTTAGTCTTTATACCGTCAAGTGTGCCTTTCTTGTTCGTAAACGGTTACGATAAAGGTAGAATGATTGATGACGAGGAAGTGCCATGGGCGTACAGGTATTACGAAACATATCTTCCTAAATGCATGGATTTATGAGAAGGAAACCACCGTAACCGCATCTTGACTTTCCCTCGCGTTTTGTCGAAAATCTCTGTCTCGTTCGAACAGAGACAGTCGATCCGATCACTTTTCACATTTCGAAACTATAAAATTCATTTCTCCGATTCCCGTCGGCGATTAAAGCAGACCGCGATCGATTAATCTCTCGGTTTAACGACGATATTTTGTAATTCCGCAATCGTTACGCAAGAGTATATTTTCGGTCGCGAAGAGTAATATTTTTGATCTTCTTCTTTGAAATCGAAGATTTCCCATCGGATTCTCTTCGTGTTCGAAAATATAGCCGCAACAGGGAAGTCGGATGAAAATGTTGCACAGTGAAAGAAAAGATCGTTTCGTTCGTTTCAAATTATTAACATTTTTCTTACGTGGCTAGGAAACTTTTTCATCGAAGCTCTTTTGTGGTAAAGATACTATTTAAATAACCAGTGAATCAGGTTAAAAAAAACATTACTCGATCTTGAAAGCTAGACGAAATTCTGACTAAATTCTTCGAAACGAAAATTCGAAGAACCTTTCTTCTAACATTAAGATTTCGCAACAAAATGGCGGCCTAAGCATTTCGTAATTTTCGATTCTTAAGATGGTGAACACACATTTCTGAGCAATTTATTCGATAAATTTTGATATTAGAATAGAATAGAATAGAAACCCGAATAAATATAAATTATTATTATTTCTATAAAGCGCGCGAGCGTGGCACCTTTTATTCTGTGAACCTAGTGTTAAAGAAGTTCAGCGAAGACGACGTGGTTCGAGGTGGGAGGGTTGCACGCGTTCGATCTTCCAATCGCATCGCTTTGGATCCCGAAACGGGATTTATGGGAGAGCATGGGCGAACCGTAAAAATTCGAGAAGTGTAATGGGATTGGTTTATTAGTTTCGCAGCAGGGCGACGGCGTGTACGGGTCGTTGACAGTTCGAGGACCACAGGATGACCCCAGCTTGGAAAGGATACTTCTGCTGTCATCAAGGCCGCCGACTCCGCTGTCGCGGTATTTGCACCTACACCCGCCCACGCCCAGCGAGCTGCTCTTGAACGGCCAGGTACTGACTTATCTAATTAGTTGATAATGGTGGGGGAGGGGCCACGGGTCGTCGTTAAACGCGATAGACAGATTTATGGGTGTCGCGAATGAAACATGATGGCCATTACAATAATCTTCGTCCCGAGCGTCTTTGGGCCTGATGATTAAACTCTCCGAGTATCGCATAGTTGGCGATCATTTTTAACACCCGCGAGAAATCTGCGGATCTTTCGTTTAGGCGAATTGTCTGCCGTCGAAATTTCTGAGGGAAACTGTGCACGAAATTTTTAGAACATTAGATTGGAACCAAAAAAAAAAGATAAAATGACTATAAATACATTGAATTTCTATTGAATTTCTTTCCGCGATTTTTCAATTTAATTTTAGAAAGGTTGATCGAAAATGATTGCATCTATCGAATCGTTGAACCTTAAAGACTTAGATCGCGAATAAGAAGTACAAAATAATTGCAAATTGAAATTTTAACGCCCCCCGGAATCTCTTTCGAATTTGGAATCCTAGAAAGTAGAATTGTGTAAATAACGTTGAGGAATTATAAAATTTCTATGCCGTATGTTATAATAATATCCGCTAAGGAAATCGGTGAACGAAGCAGCGTTTGACTTTAAGTAGGCATAGCTTGCAACGCACAGACGCAATTGCTCCACTGTAAGTAGAAACGGTCGCCAGTGGACAATGGCGTCTCCCGGCAGTAGAAATATCTCCGGCAGGGGATAGACACGTTCGTGTCAATCGTTCGCCAAGATAATATACACGCGTTCGACCGAAGCCGTTAATGAAATTTTGCTTGAAAAGCGAGGGGAAGCCGAAAACATTCTGCACTTCGAATGTTTCAATTCGATGTTCGCATCATAAATTATGAATCGCTTTTATGGTCGCCATCAGCGAATCTACAATTAGTCGGTGTGATAAATTATTTCTGCCCTGCCAGGTCTCACGGTTGGGCATAAACGAACCAATGGAAACGAATTAAGTGTATTAATGCCGATACCATTATAATGAACACGAGTTCGGTAACGTTTCCGCTGATTTATTGCTGTTTAAGCGGGAGTCAGGTTTCATAGTAATCGGACACCGATCGAACACTTTTAATCGACACCTCGTATTAACACTCTGTGGCACGGTGTAACTTCGAATTCGCACACCTGTTTATCATGCTCGTTGGTCGAACTTCATTTTTAACCACAACGTTGCAAATATGTATATCTTGTTCCGTTGTTTCTCCCTCGCGTAACGGTGGGGATCGTGATAACATGATCTGCAACTTTTACTTCGCACGTCGGAAAAAATTCGATCTCTTTTTTTCTTTGTTGATTCGTTGTTAATCTATATGCAAAGATTGATGTTTGGTTCCGCGTTGAACGAGCCTTTTTATACTCGCGTAAATTTGCACTGTTAAAGGATTTTTCGTCAGCGGACAGGAGAAATGATTTAATAATTATGATTATATTACAGTATAATTGTTGACAATCGATAACTGTAAAAAGGAATAATCGTGCCTCTTCTTCTCAAATTGTCCATTTTTGTGCAGAATTTTGAGCGTCGATTAGGGCGACTTTACTATACTACAGTTAATCGTGAATACAATCATAGTAAATTTTCTCTAATTGACATTCGGCTTGGAAACAAAAATGGACAATTGGGAATAATCGTACCTCCACTTCCTAAATTGTCTATTTTTGTTTCCGAGCTAAGAGTCAATTAGAGAGAATTTGCTGTAATCGTACGACGTTTCGTTTCACTTGCGCAAAGAAAACAAAGAGGGAAACGCGATAAAATGGCGGGAAGTTGCCGCGTTTTTCACCATTTCCGACGTGGCCGGGAAAGATCGGACGCCGGTTGTCCCGGCAAATTACCGCTAATGAATTTTCTAATGACGCGTTTATTAAATATAATTCCCCGCGATAGTTATGTCGAGAATGTTAACCGATCCCGCGGTTTCTATCTCCGTTGTAACGTTGTATAACAGAAATTACGCGAACCCTGAAAAACTCGACACAACGATACGATCCACGGAAGTAATCATTGCTCCTCATTACGCTCCGGATGGTTTGCGTTAATCGAATCTGAATCTGAAAATTCTTTCTCCGTGCTGCGGTCGAATGTTAACATTTTTTTCAACAATAATTTTAGCACTTCGTTGCGTTTATTGGGAAACACTCCGGTTATAAATGGAAACTGTTGCGATAATAATTCTTCTTCGAAATTAAAATATCTTAATTATTATTATATTATTATTATTATATTATATTATATTATATTATATTATATTATTATATTATATTATATTATATTATATTATATTATATTATATTATATTATATTATATTATATTATATTATTATTATATTTTAATAGTTCTANTACTACAGTTAATCGTGAATACAATCATAGTAAATTTTCTCTAATTGACATTCGGCTTGGAAACAAAAATGGACAATTGGGAATAATCGTACCTCCACTTCCTAAATTGTCTATTTTTGTTTCCGAGCTAAGAGTCAATTAGAGAGAATTTGCTGTAATCGTACGACGTTTCGTTTCACTTGCGCAAAGAAAACAAAGAGGGAAACGCGATAAAATGGCGGGAAGTTGCCGCGTTTTTCACCATTTCCGACGTGGCCGGGAAAGATCGGACGCCGGTTGTCCCGGCAAATTACCGCTAATGAATTTTCTAATGACGCGTTTATTAAATATAATTCCCCGCGATAGTTATGTCGAGAATGTTAACCGATCCCGCGGTTTCTATCTCCGTTGTAACGTTGTATAACAGAAATTACGCGAACCCTGAAAAACTCGACACAACGATACGATCCACGGAAGTAATCATTGCTCCTCATTACGCTCCGGATGGTTTGCGTTAATCGAATCTGAATCTGAAAATTCTTTCTCCGTGCTGCGGTCGAATGTTAACATTTTTTTCAACAATAATTTTAGCACTTCGTTGCGTTTATTGGGAAACACTCCGGTTATAAATGGAAACTGTTGCGATAATAATTCTTCTTCGAAATTAAAATATCTTAATTATTATTATATTATTATTATTATATTATATTATATTATATTATATTATATTATTATTATATTTTAATAGTTCAATAGATATTTTAATAATAAGACAACTTCACTTCTTTTGATAATAACACAGACTTTAATTTAACCAATTTGCAATCTTTGATTCGTCATTGTGACGATTATTTGTGCGGACATTTATGTTCATTTATTTTATAGCAATTTTCTAAAAATTCGATTCGTACTTGTCCGCGTCGCAAGCAATTTGTTGAAAATCAGGATCAGCACTTTTTAGCTTCATCGTGCTCATAATAATCTCGTGTTAATCCCTACGGCTAAGATAAATCACAGTTTCGCTAATATGTATAATGATTTAGAGGCAATCTTGCAGAATTTTCGGTTCCATTAATTCAGCTCTTTCTTTCAGAGCAACGGGGTCGTTATAAAAGTTGATCATGGTGGACGATACTTATTACGAGTCATCAACGCCAATGCGTACAATTGTCCCGTTCGGTTATCCATTTCCGGGCACAATTTCCGCGTGGTGGCAGCTGATGGCAACAGGGTCCAACCGGTGACAGGAAAACACATCGTTCTCTTTCCAGGTATGACAATTTTTCATTATTCCTTTATATGCTTAATACAAGATAATTACGAAAAATTAAGCATGAAGAATGACACATCGACAATCGAATTAAACAATCTAATTCCAAACGAGATTTCGCACGATCCATCGACAATTCAAATACAGAAGTATTGATCTAACGATGAACAAATGATTAAAAAATGAAAACAGAAAAAAAAATAGTCAAAAAGAACAAGCATTCATGTTTTTCATTTTATTTTGTTCCCAAAGTACAGTAAATTCTCTCCAATTGTCCCTCAGTTTGGAAACGAAAATGGACAATTTGGGAAGAGGAGATACGATAATTCGAGTCTCGCGGCTCGTTTTCATAGTTGTCGACAATCGGCGACTATAAAAACGAGCCGCGAGGCTCGATTAATCGTGTCTCCTCTTCCCAAACTGTCCATTTCTGTTTACATGCCGAGGGACAATTAGAAAGAATTTACAGTAATTGTTTTCCTTTACGAATATCGATTAATAAATCGCTGTTATCGTTGCCAAGTGATGGAAATTCGGTTTCCTTAAATTCTTGAACATTATGTTCGACTGAACAAAAATGATACAGCCTAAAAGAAGCACGGTGAAATGAGCCGAGAATGGTAGAATAAAATTCGTCAGTAACACAATTTCGATCATTTTAACACTAGATTTACGGAACCCGTCGAAATGACGGGTCACTAATTTTTTAATTTACGATTATTCGTATCGTAAAGATACATTTATGAGTTACTTATTCAAATTAAATGTAATAATATATTTATTCGATGTACGACAAATGTGACAATAACGCTTGTTAAAACTCGGAATAAATGTCTTACTGTTACTTTTATAAATTAATATAAAACAGCTGTTTTTTTGTGCTCCGTGAATCTAGCGTTAAAGAAGAATAGCATCGGTGAACGAAGAAGTAGAAACGGCGAGGTATGATCAGACCCAGTTTTCTCGGAGAAAAACGGTTGCAACAACCACGATTCGCGCCTAATTCCGTATAGTCGCGGCAACCAATCCGAATCGGCGATATTGCGAGAAAATCTCGGCATTTGGCGCATGTAAGATTCATCGATTGCACGTGCAAGTCGGATCCGAGATTTCATACATTCGTCTCGCCGCGGCTCGGTATAATACGCGCAATCGCGCTCTGACAATGCAGGTTCGGTGAAAGCTGGTCCAATGGCCGAAGATACATCGCCATCGAATGAGATTGATCGTGCTGTAGCGAAATTAGATCGATCCGGCGCGACGCGTGGAATATATTGGCCCCGCCGCGGAAATATGTCAGATCGAAAATCGTTTTCCATTGTTCGTTTCGGTCCGAGAATTTTCAGTTTGTTACGCGTTCGTTTGCCGTATCATGCAGAACATCAACTGCTACCAGGAATCTCTGCTGTTATTCCTGTTTCACGTATGCTATGAGACCTTTTTGTAGGGCTCGTTCGCAAAGATTCGAAGAGGATGTTCCACTTTCGAGCGGAACCGGAACAGTAATTCGATCACAGCAGTTGCGCTTCACCTGTTCGACAAACATTTTCATCGTAAGCTTGAGAAAGCGTGTTTTATTTGCAGAAATACGCGCATAGTGGTTCAGCAAGGATTGCAAACGCACTCGTTGCATCCCGATTTAATTTTCTACGATCCCGTGCACGTTGTTCGTGCACAGGAATCGCGCGATTGTGTTTAATGAGACGAAGAGAAGAAACTGTGACCAGTGGTACATCGTGATTGGCACAGATTGGACCGCCAGTGCTTTTAATAATCGGCGAACTAGGTTACTCTTGTGAGGAAAAGGTGTGTGCAAGCGAGAAAGACGAAGGATTCTGCTTGGAAAAGCAATCCTCTGGAAAATCGTCGCCGGAAAATGAGAACGAAAATGGAGCTCGAAAGGAAAGTCAACTGGAAATTCCATCGGTATTTGCGTTATCACACGAACAACTTATTTTTTTTAATAAGCTTGCGTACGAAGATCTAACGTAATTGGGTCGTAATAGAGTTAACGACGTGCAAAACGGTCGATCGGACTTTTTGCACGGCGAATTTTTAATCCGACACACGAGACGGAAGAAAAATCGCTTCGCCGGGGCTGTGAAATTAATCTTTCCCCGTTTCACGCGTCGATGCTGGAAAACTGCTGGAAAATTTTAATTCGTCGAGCTCCTGGCGGTAAGCTGGGACGCGAGAAGATTAAAACGGCGTTCGCAAACGTGCGAACTTGCAGCAAAAAATGCAAAGAGAAAAATCTGCAACTGTAAAAGTCCGGATCTTGCGTGAAATCGGTCCACGTGAAAAGGAAATCGATGGTTCGTCGAATTTATCGCAAACGCGTGCGACGCGTTCTTCGCTTCTGTTCTAAAGAATCTTGCAGAATAACTGAGAAAATTCTGCAGCTTTATAGCTGGATTCGAAACGAAATCAATAGTCAGCAGATCTCCACGCACCTGCAGCAGAAATGCAAGTGACGCGAAACAAGGCGCTGCAAAGAGCGTGCAAAGTTGCAGCATCGCGACCCTCGCTTTCGTCAAATCCGCAAACAACGATACAACAACACAAATGAAAAAAGAAACCCGATCGACAAAATAGAAACCGCATATAGTCGTCGAACCGCATAAAGATCCCCGCGGTCCAATTAAAATCTCGATGAAAAGCACACGAGCGAGGCGTCTTCAGCTCGGCCGCGGTTCTTCCGTGGACGAGCCTCGCCCAGCGACCAGGCAAAAAGCGAACGACGCGTTCCGATTCTCCGCAGATCCTTGACCGGGGTCACGATAATCGTCTCCCTCCCGCGGGATCATCGACAAAGCTACTCCGACGACAATGCGAAATCTCGTTGAACGCGCGGCAGGCAGGCAGGCAGGCATCGGCTTCTGCGGCGTGGTTCGCGCGGCGCGAATGCCGCACGAAAAAAGAAAGCGGAGGGAAAAAGTAAAACCGTCGATGGAAAGGATTCCGCCGATAAAGGAGAGCCGCGATAGAACGACGGAACGAGTCGCAAGGTCGTTCGGTGAACAAAGAGAGCAAGGGAATGCAAAGAAGGTATCGGGCAGTCGGCGCTCTGGGTAGCAAAAGAAATGCGAAACGTGGAGGCTGCCGGAGAGGGGAACAAAGGCGACGAAGAGAGACAGAAAGAGAAAGAGGAAGAGAGAGAGAGAGAGAGAGAGGAGAGAGGGTGGGAAAAGCGACGGCGAACAGGATCGGCGTGTGAAAAACAGAGATGGAACCAGCTTCGGATCGACGAGGGGCGCGCGGAGCTGTGTTGCGGCGAGAGGAGCGGAGCGGCGAGAGGAGAGGAGAGAACGCGGAGAGGAGAGAGGAGGACGAGGCGGCGGCGGCGGCGGTGGCGGAGGCGGAGGAGAGCAGGGAGACGAAAGGATGAAACTGCTTGGCGCTCATACGTTTAGCGATGCGGCGTGCAACGGTGGTCAGGCTCGTTCGCGCAGACTCGGCCGTCTTCGTGTTCTCGCCGGGTTTCCGCCAAGGGATATAAAGAAAGGAAGGCGACCAAGCGCGCGCGGGTCTCGCGCAAAAATCATTAAAACGCGTGCTCGATTCGCGGCTGCGGCGTCGTTGTCGGCTGCTAGTCGCCAGCCGATTTATTAGCGGGTACACGGGACCGCGGCTCTGTCCTCCCGCAAGGCCCGTCCGCCGGATCGAAAGCCGACCCGAGCTCCACGTTTTTCGGCTCGGCGTCCGTCCGCGCGGCGCCGCGGAGCGTGATCGGGCTGGTCCTCGGGGAGAGGAGACGCGTGGAAAGCCTGTGGAAACCGGTGGAAAACCCGTGGACACCCGTGGAGAAGCGGCCCCGAGGTGCACGCGGCCCGTCACCGGCCGCAGCCGCCGCCTCTCTGCCCGCTCCGGCCCGCGACGGCCCGCGACGGCCCGCTCCGGACCGCTCCGGCCCGTTTCTTTCCGCTCGCCGCGTCTCGCCTCGCCACGCCGCTCTTTCCATGTGCAGCCACGACGCCTGGAACGAGCCAGAGATGAACGACACCCGCCTCGCCATGGAATGGACCCGCGACAAGACCCTCGAGCTGCTGCGGGAGTACCAGCAACGGCGTGTTCTGTGGGACTGGAACGCCCGCGGGTACCGGGACCGCGCGAAACGCAAGCACGCCATACAGGAGCTCGCCGAGATCCTCTGCTGCAACACCCTCGAGATCGAGAAGAAGATCACGAACCTGAAGTGCCAGTACTCGAGGGAGGTGCACAAGATACAGAACAGCCGGGAGGCCGCCGCCGGGCCCGACGATGTTTACGTGTCCAAGTGGTTCGCCTTTAAGGCGATGCAGTTCCTGCAATTCGGCACACGCAGATACAGCAAACGGAAGAAGGTATGTACGGGCTGTCGGCGGTGCGTGCACGGTGTCGGTGAGCGTGTCGGCTCTGTATGTGGCGGCTGCGTATGTACGTGGGCGCGGGATGCGTGCTTGCGCGCGCGCGCGCGTGATTGCGGGCGTGCTTGCGTGCGGACGCTGCGCGGAGCGAGCACGCGTGCTACGCGAATGAGCAAGGGCCGACTTCGATTTTGCTTACGCGATTTGTCCGGATTGAATTAGGCTCGGCTGGTTTCGATGCTCGCGGTGTTCTCGCGGCACGGACGGAGCAGCTCCCGGCGACGCGAGATCCGCCTTTTCGCAATGCCAATCCTCGATCGCTTCGGCTCCACGACCGTCGTTTTTACTCTTCGAACCAGCCACGGGCGTGAATGGCTATCTTTCAGCGGCATCGACGCGGCAAATAAGTGCTTTGTTGCCACGATGCAATGGTCCTTTCTCCTCGTCGAGCTTCTTCATCTTCTTCGGAGCACCGGCTGTCTTTCGTTTTTATGCGGTCCGCGGCGCGACGAAAGTCGAATCTCGGGGCCAGAGTCGCGCGAGCGTCGAAAAAAAGAACGGACGTGGGATCGCCTCTCCTTGATTTTATAGTTAACAACGGGAACGAATTTTCCTTGTTTTTCTAGTTGTGAACAAGGACGAATGTTCCTCGAGTTCCTCGTTGGAACATTGGTGAACGAAGGACGGACGGCCGACGCTCGTCGATTTGACGCTCGTGCGATTCTGGCCTTAGCTGGCCATTTTTACGCAGCTTCGATCGTCCGTTAATATCGTCTCCGATCGTCTTGCATCGAGCATCGTCGAGAAATCGAAAGGTTGCGCGTTATTTCACTTTGCCGTAGAATCGTTCTACTCGGATTTCAATCGTTCCCTTGGAAATTATCGAGCATCTCGTAAAATCGTACGTTCTCCCCTCTTTTATTGTTCTCGACGATTTTCCTCGTTTCTAAACGATTCGATTAATTGTTCATCCCGTCTTTGTCTTTATCCCGCGGACGATGGGCGTCGGGTCCATTTGGACCCGGAGTTACGTTCCATCGAAATTCGAATTTCGTGGCAGTCACGTGTAATTATTGACCATCAATATTGAAACCGATGAAAGGATTAACTTTGGTCGCAGCAAAGAGGTTTTAATAATATACGAATGAATGCTAATCGTAAATATTTGAATGGATATCTAGCCGTGGCTGCCGTAAATGCTGAAAAATGTCCGCCGTCCAAAGGTTAATATCATCGAGTGGTCTCGCCTAGTTAAAGAACCTTCGCAATTTCGACTCGAATATTCGACGATCCGCTTGAAACTCGCCGACCACTGGCGCACTACGTTTCGCACGCATTATCAAGAATGATTTGGTCGCGGTAAAAAAAAAAGAAAAGAGCAACGCCTGGTCAACGGCGAATCTCTGTGGGTGGATCCGAAGTAGCCGGAGACAAAATGATCCCTCGGACAACAACGGGAACAATAGAAGCGAAATTGGTTTTGATAAATTGTTTTCAGTCGGCGGAAACCGCGAGCGGTGCACAGTTTAGCATTCTACGAAGTTTCTGCTCCGTAGTTTCGAGTTGTGTGTTAGTCACCGTGGTTCCCATGGGACGGAAGCGTGATTTAAATTCGCATGTACTTTCAGCGTTCGGTCAAAATGGCGCTGGATGTTGACAATTTTCCTGCCGGTCGGTCCCTAGCGTTTCTCAGAAGTAGAAATGGGAGTTCCATTTGGTCGATGATGTTCCACGATATAGCAAACGTATCTAGTATTCGTGATCTTCGATTCGAATGTCTGCAGGCAAAGAACGGGTTATTATAGAGAAATTCACTGAACGGTGAACCGACTCTTCGAGCATGAAGTGTTAAGACAGTTCAGGGTTTTGCAGAAACGATTATATATTGATACAGATATTTGTTTAAATCATTCTTTGCCGAAATTAGTTAGAAGATCGAGTGACACACTTAGAGCGCACAAACAGAGATCTGTTCGGCGGCGTGTCAACAACGTCTCGAAAACAGCATAGATTTTAGGTGTCAAAGATGAGCAGGACAGCAAACTAGATTCGAAGCATAAAGCACAATTATCGTGGAACACGATTATCATAAAACGCAATGATCGCAAAGCATAATCATCATAAAACACAATTATCATAACCGGTCTGCGGATTTTATGCATTTATGGCAAAAATGAGTAGCTGTAACATAAGATTACGAAGATATTGTAAGAAAAATCTGATAATGTTGCTACGCTATTTTCAACTTATCTAACTTATTCGAAGAAAATTTATTTCATTTCATTTCATTTCATTTCATTTCATTTCATTTCATTTCATTTCATTTCATTTTATTTTATTTTATTTTAATTCATTTTATTTTATTTTATTGTATTTTATTTTATTTCATTTCATTTTATTTTATTTTATTTCATTTTATTTTATTTTATATTATTATTTTATTTTATTTTATTTCCGTTTCTTGCAATCATCTTGGCAAATTCTTATTTTACATAAAAATCCGCAGTATAATCGTAACACATAATTACAGTGTAGCATAAGTGAAAATAATCTTGCTGCTCCAGTGACAGAAATTTAACAAGAAAAACTCGAAATTCAAAGATCATACGGTTCCAACAAAAAAATATCTGCGCACAGACACCTCTTTCGACCGTACCCCGGCTTCCAGAAGGAAGTGTCCTAACGTTACACTATCGTCCAATTCTTCTCGCTCCTAGAGAATATCAACGACCGGTTCGATCGATCGGTTCCGATCGGTCCCGATCGTCCCTTCGAACGTTCGTGGAATTCCAGTCCGGGTCCCGGTTCCAGGAACTTGTTTGTACACGTCCGAGCAGGGAGAGCAAAGCGTCGTCCCTTTCTCCAATCGGCAGAACGAACCGGTCGGTTTACGCCATCCGCGTAATTGGCCTGCCGATTTCGGGGAAGGAGCATTGTCTCCCGATCCGTTTCGCAGAAACCGGGTGCGAACGCGTCGCGACGCGTTCCAGTTGACCCGAGAGAGGAAGACTCGTTCGGCTGCGGATGTTTATGCTATTATAGCAACCCCTATAAAAAACTCGGCGTGATCGATAACACCAACCCTGGCGGAAAATAACCGATCGAAATTATCTGAGCCGTGGCGCTCGCCGACGACGATCTGTGGATTTTTAGAAATCTTTGGAATCTGAAAGATCTATCTCCCTTTTTTCTTCATAATTTCCACGTCTCAAAAATTTCATAAAATTCGAGCATTTAACAATTCATAATTACAGTGAAGACGTCAATCATATTTTCAACGTTCTTACGTTTCGCGGGTCTGAAGGAGGTTAGGAGAATATAATGGATTGACGTGAGAATTAATTTTCAAATCTGAACTGATAATTCCGTCACCCACACATGGGTGAAATGGCGATCAAAGTGTTGATCATTTTATCGAGCATTCTTCGGAAAGTATCGTCGGAGAATTTTGGAGTGTTATTGATGCACATCTTTTCGATACATTGTTGAATCATTTTGCTGTCTTTGTTCGTAATAGTTTGTTAGTGATCAAGAAGATTGATGTTTATTAAAAGAGGAACAAAATTTTCTTTTGACTTAGAAGAGTCGTGTTTCATAGTGTTCTACGAATCTGCACGTGATTTGACAGCATGAAGATTCACAGTTTTACAATAATGGACGTCGAGATCCAAAATTTCGATGACAAATCAAAGAGTCTGCGCGATTAATCCTTCGCATTCAAAGATATTTGAATCACAGAATTCTGGACACTTCTTTCAACCTTGCAGATTTCTCGATATTTATTCTTTTTTCGCACATAAAATTGAACACTCATGACTAGACCGCGGATTTTCACGCGAAATAAAAATTGTCCGAGTCAATTGCAGTGAATGTAAACTAAAGTTCTTTCATTCTTCATTAACTTGAGTAGATTGAAGTTAATACATTGACATTTTTTAATTCTTTTAATCTTTCTACTGTTTTAAATTGCAACTACCCAATTTTGCCATAAATGCATAAAAGAGATCAGCAATTTATTATTACTTCATTGTCGCACCGAATCAAAAAGTCTTACATTCTATTTTTCGCAAAAATGATATTGAGGAGAATGAAATTAACAATTAATTCAATACACATACTTAGAAGTGAGAGATCAAGTTCTAATAGAAAAAACGATGTTCTAGAATCTCCAAATTATATTTTCAAATTTTTCTTTGAAAATTGAACTGGAGCCGAGCGATCCAGTATGACAGACTGTCGCATAAAAAATATGAGTTAAGTAGAAACCTATTTAGCAATATAAAAATTGTTCGAAGCAACAGCTAAATTTAGCGTAGAGAATCCGCAATTTCGCGAGAAGAATTTTGAATAAACGATCTCTTCTTAGCGTTTACGATCCGTTTTCGTCGAGAAACAGGATACCGTGCAGAAAATCCGCGATTTCGAGCAAGCGATCGTGCAATAAGGACTCCGGACGGGAAACACGTGATCTCGCATAAGCGTTCGCAGTTTAATCGGCGTTAATCGCAGGGACGCGACCGTCGCCGTGTGCAATTTCAGCTTGATTGCTTTACGTGATTATTTCACCGGGTTTCGAATCGATCTCGGGCCACGCTGGTGCATCCTGACTGACGCTCGCTCCCGCTTCTCTCTCCGTGTCGCGGCCATAGATCTCTCTCTCACTCTCTCTCTCGTCGCTTTTTCTCTGATCCTCTTTCCCTGTCTCTCCGTCTCTCCCTTTCTCTCCTCGTTCTCTCCTCTCTCTCCCGGCTGTCCGACCGCCTTCTTTGTCCGCTGGACGCAAGCTGGATCGCCTTTGTCCTCCGCGTCGTCGCCTCGCCTCTCGTTCGCGCCTCGTTTCCTCTCGCCGCGTCTTTTTAAGCTGATTGATCGATCGAATTATTGCGGAGCGTTATGTCGGCGTTGCTCTGCGACCGTGGCAACGCACCATTGTCGAGGATTTCTAACGCGCGCCGGGAAAATGGAGGCGTGCGAACACGATCTGCGGGCCGACGGGCGCAGATTAGCGTATCGCCGCCTAATGGGAACATCTTCGAGTCCGCTTTCCCTTCTTGGGATCTCCTGGGCTTCTACGCGAGCCACGAGAGCGACTCGATCCAAGAAGTTAACGGGGCCCGACGCGGATTATGCCAGAATTCGCCCCCCGGTGCTCGATATTCCCTCGGACCGCTCGCGACGCATTGGATCGTGCCTACATTTTTGCGGCAGTCGCGGGCTCGGAAAATCGTGCGAAAATTCATTGAGACACCTCGGAGTGCGTAGTTCGAGGCTGCAACAATGGAACGGCCGAAAAGAGTTAGGACGGTGACGGTTTTGCAATTTTTCCGCGACGCGGTTTGCAAGAGCCAGATTTATATCGATGGTAATTTGGAACGATCGTTGCAAATTGCTACTGAAGTTTCGATTTGGCGACTTCTTCGATGTTTTTTCGAGAAACATCATCAAGGGGATATCAAAGAATACTGGGCCAGACTGTGGATTTGATGCATTTATGATGAAAATGTCGAGGTGTAATTTGAAACAGCAGAAAGGTTGAAAGTATTTATGAATAGTTATATAATGTAGGAGATAATAATACTAGATGTCCCATAAATGTCTCGCAATCATGAAATGGGAGGTTCCTGAGGTCATTCGAAGCAACTTTCTCCTTAGCGAAAATGCAATCCGCGGCTTTGTTTAAGAGTTATTAACGAAAAACGGTGACCAATGAGAGGCGAGCTCGGCTGGCGCGAGGCGGTCGAGCCAATGAGCGGAACTGAGCTTCGTGCGCTCTCGTTGGCTGGGCCGCCTCGCGCTAACCGAGCTCGTCTCTCATTGGTCACCGTTTTTCGTGAATAACTCGTAAACAAAGCCGCGGATTACATTTTCGCTAAGGAAAAAGTTGCTCCAAATGACTTCAAGAACCTCCCATTTTCGGGACACAATGTATATAATATAATATACAATAACATATAATAAATAATAATATAATTATTCAAGAGAGAGAATAAATTTTCTGAGCGACTTCTGCGTCTTCGAATCGACGAAGAATATTTGTATTTTGCAGAAAGATATCCGCAGTCTAAAATAACGATCGAAAATTATCGAATAAATAGCGATGTACACGAAAGGGTCCTCGTTCGTTTTCTCTGCGGTGAAATGTCGGAGCATTTTGCGTCGTGTAGCAGCTGGAACAAGAAAAGTAGATTGTACACAACGGAACCCGATACGCGAGTCTTTCCTTAATTAACTGTGGCAAGATGAACATACCCGTAGCATTGTTATTTGGGGGAAAACGTGCACCCGTGAAAGTTCTCTAACACCGGGTTTCCCTGCAGATCGAAATGCGCGATTAATCCTCGGCCGTGTGAACCGTGCGCAGCAGATTGAATCGCGATTCGATCCGATTGTGCTCGTATCCATCCGCCGGGTAATTATAATTATCAGGCGCGCGAAGTTTTCTCTGGGCTGCCGCGTCGGCCGTTCTATGTATAGGCAAATTAAAGTTTGTGGACAGAGGGTCGGGGATATTGTGTACGGAATCATGTTCGCGGAACTAAGTTGAATGCTTTCGGGCGTCCCTCTGTTCCAAGCGGAACGATGCAATTCGATATGACAATGGTTGCACGGTCCCGTTATTCTTTTTTTTTTATCAAATAGGAAAGCATAAAAATCAACGACCTCTCTTTGCTTTGCTCGAGTTTTACGATTTCACGAAGGTGATACGTTATTGTTGAAGAAATATTAGCGGACGATGGTGGACGATGTTGTTCCGAGCGATCATGAGTTGTACGGTGTCGAAGCGTTGCGATGTCTGAGTTCGTTGTTAACTCTGGCAGAGAATATTCGATCAATATGGAAGTACGAAAATTTTAGGAACATTTTCTTATAGAGGTTCAGATTATTACTAAAAATCGAACACCATTTCTATCGTCCTCGAAAACTCAATAGATAATCTTCGATGCCATTCATGTTACACAATGGTCAATAATATTGAATCAATATAATCAAAACTAAACTTGTGGTTAATGCGGAAGATAAAAATGGTCCTTATCAATTTTAATATACATGAGTTAAGCAGATATCCATTTCTTTCATTCAACTTTGATTGATAAAATTCATTGAATGTTTTTACCAGTTTACCAGTTTTTACCTCTTCATTTTTTCAATGAATGCATATAATCCATAATTCAACCATAACACTACGAAGTACTTAAAAATATGTAAATTTATTTGATCGAACATATCCTGCCAGAGCTGTACTCGGTTTGTGCGTCTTTGACTAACCTTGATACTGAAGGGCCCGAAGGTACTAAGGATGCCTCAAGCTATCAAGAATTTCAAAGGTCCCAAATACACCGAATGTCCTGAAGTTTAGGACCTAAACTAGACTACTAAGGTTTCTAAAAGTCTCAAGGAGTCCTAAAGGCATCAAAGTTTCCAAAATATCCAAAGACTTCAATTGTCTCGAAGACCCCAAATGTCGCAAAGATCTCAAACGTCCCAAAGATCTCAATAGTCCCAAAGGCCCCAAGGACCCCGAAGTTTCCAAAGGCTATTAAAGAGTTTCAAAGGTCCCAAACGCCTGCCCCAAACTGAATATCCTGAAGTTTAGGACCTAAACTACACTACGAAGGTTTCTAAAAGTCTTCTAAAGTCATCAAAGTTTCCAAGATATCCAAAGACCTCAATTGTCTCGAAGACCCCAAATGTCGCAAAGATCTCAAACGTCCCAAAGATCCCAAACGTCCCAAAGATCTCAATAGTCCCAAAGGCCCCAAGGACCCCGAAGTTTCCAAAGGCTATTAAAGAGTTTCAAAGGTCCCAAACGCCTGCCCCAAACTGAATATCCTGAAGTTTAGGACCTAAACTACACTACGCAGGTTTCTAAAAGTCTTCTAAAGTCATCAAAATTTCCAAGATATCCAAAGACTTCAATTGTCTCGAAGACCCCAAATGTCGCAAAGATCTCGAACGTCCCAAAGATCCCAAACGTCCCAAAGATCTCAATAGTCCCAAAGGCCCCAAGGACCCCGAAGTTTCCAAAGGCTATTAAAGAGTTTCAAAGGTCCCAAACGCCTGCCCCAAACTGAATATCCTGAAGTTTAGGACCTAAACTACACTACGCAGGTTTCTAAAAGTCTTCTAAAGTCATCAAAATTTCCAAGATATCCAAAGACTTCAATTGTCTCGAAGACCCCAAATGTCGCAAAGATCTCGAACGTCCCAAAGATCCCAAACGTCCCAAAGATCTCAATAGTCCCAAAGGCCCCAAGGACCCCGAAGTTTCCAAAGGCTATTAAAGAGTTTCAAAGGTCCCAAACGCCTGCCCCAAACTGAATATCCTGAAGTTTAGGACCTAAACTACACTACGCAGGTTTCTAAAAGTCTTCTAAAGTCATCAAAATTTCCAAGATATCCAAAGACTTCAATTGTCTCGAAGACCCCAAATGTCGCAAAGATCTCGAACGTCCCAAAGATCCCAAACGTCCCAAAGATCTCAATAGTCCCAAAGGCCCCAAGGACCCCGAAGTTTCCAAAGACTGCTAAAGACACTAAATCTCCTTTTTCTCCCGCAGAAGGTGGAGGAGGACTCGTCGAAGTTGCAGGAGGAGTACATCGTGAGCGACATCGACCCCGAGAGCATAACGTTCGTGGACTGCAACGAGGAGACGAACGGCTCCGGGACCGGGTCGTTCAACGCGTCGTTGAGCGAGGACGCGGAGGAATGGTCCTCGTCGAGCCTGAAGGCGATGAAGCTGTACAACGGCTCTCTGCCTGACCAGAGCAGCCCGATCGGCGACGGTGACGGCGACCTGGAGGAATCCGGCCAGACGAATCTCGGGACAGAGCCGGCGACGGAACGGAAACGGACGAAAGAGGACTTCGCGAAGTTCGCCGAGAGCATCGCCGTGCAGCTCGCCGAAATCCCGGACTCGTACTCGAGGTCCGTCGCGAAGCTCAGGATCAATCAGATCCTGTTCGAGGCGGAGATCGGCGTCTACGCGCAAACGCATCGCTAACAAGCGCGATCCAGGAGCGCGATCGCGGATACGAGTTAGATCAAAATCGGACCGCTGGTGGAAGCTATTCGATCTCGATATGCCCGGTTGCCTGCCGGCAAAGTTATGTATTTTTCGCGTCTAAGGCCGAGCGGTTGGAATATCGACTTGGGCTGCGACAGACTTGGGAGAGTTTTGTTTCAAATTAATGAGTGCGAAATCTTTCGGCGAAATAGAATTTCTCCGCGTCGATTGCGCAAGATAGACTGTTCTGTCTTTGGTTAATTGTTCGTAGTATATTGAAAAAATATGATGTAGCGACATTCTTGGATTCCTTTTTATCTTCCTCAACACTGAACCCTACCATGCCGGTGGAAATGACCTGTTCCGAATATTTTGTCTTCAAATAATTTTAATCTACGGAGACTCTCTCATTGGGAACGATTGTATAAACTCTTCAATTCGAGTACGAACTATGATCAAAATTGCGAAATGTCTCGATAAATTCGATCTTATCGAGCAAGACAGGCCAGTCATTTTTAAAGCTCGGTAGATTTAGTATTAAATTAGTTGCCTTCAATCGGGAGTGTTTGAAATGGCAACGATGAAGTAACGAATATATTTTATATGTTTCTTGACCAAACTACTTCAGGTGTTGTTTGTGGAAACGTTTGTTCGACTAGAAAATTCAAGACGAGATAATGAGTGATTTTGATAGTTTCAAGATGATTAAAATTAACGTTTACGGGAACGTTGATGTTTATTAAGTGTGAAAACTGTAGAAAAATGTTCTGACAATCAGATGTTCGCGAGATAGCTCGTTACCCGATTCAGTATTCTCGTTTTGCTGGTTACGCCGGGGCGATCAATCCGCTAGTTTAATTGAAACAAAGGAAAATGGTTTCAGAACGGTGCCAATCATGCTATCGCAGAAATTTTATTGAAATATGGATAGCAATTATAGTTCGATCGACGCGTAATATACCGTGCTTCTTTCACACAAACGCATCCTCGATCATCAAATGGCAGCAGAAGTATCCTTCATTTCGTACGGATCGTGGTAATCGCTTCGACCGCAGTCTCGTTAAACTCTTGGCAATCGAATACTTTCCATCGGAGGTAGTAACACACACGCCACACCATCGCCCACACATGCACACATCCACACACACAAACAGAGAAAGACGTGCATCCGCGTCCGTAGAGAGACGATATCCGATGTTGGCTATCAAATGAATAACGAAATAGTTTGCGAAACGGAGGAGCCGATCCGTTCCGACCAGCTCGGATAAAATTAATATTATTAGCGGCGCCAGCAGTTGGCGAAAGTACGTGTTGTAACATTACGATAATGCCGAAGTAAACTCTGTAATAGTGTTGGTTGCGCCATAAAGCACGGCCGTTTTAACAGCACTTCCGATTTTACGATAGACTGTAGCCGAGTTCTCGTTTACGAAGTTCGTCGAGACGCGACAGCACGATTTGTTTCCCCCCGCCCCATCCACCCCATCCACCCCCGATGCTCACTAGTTGTTATCGAAAACCGCGGTTGGAGGAGGACGACGAACAGGCCGATGATCATGGGGCAGCATGATCCTCGGCTCGCGATCACAAAGTACAATTACTTTCCATTTCTCTGCTCCGAATTTCCGAGGAACAATGTTCTCCACGATGTTAACTCGTCGACCGTCGACACTCTCTTCCTTGATGCGAAACATCAACGCTAGAACTACCGAGCTCTTAACGAGACTAATTTATTATAATATATTTATTATATTATATATATTATATATATATAATATAATATAATATAATAATTAATATATATTTATATATATAATATATATAATAATATATATTTAATATAATAATTATATATATAATATATATTATATTATATATATTATATTTATTATATTATAATATATATATATATATATATATATATATATTATATATTTAATAAATTATATAATAACGAGACTACTAATTTACGTCGCTTTAGAACGATGCCAAGATTGGATTTATTGAAACTTCGCGCGACTAATATCGTAATATGTGCCAGGATAAAGAAGCTTATCGGAAAATTTCTCGTAGAAACATTTTTATGATATCAGAAAAATTGTGGAAGACAAAAATTCGGAACCAGTCGTTTCGGCTGGTTCGGTAGTTCTAGCGTTAAACGATTGAACGTCGAACGGCGGAAGCAAGCACGCCGAAGTTCATCGAACTGAAAAACGGTTAACATCCTCGCCTGTTTCTCACAATACATATTTTTTAGTGCAACTGCGTTTCATCCGTAGCATTAACGAGTTCACGGGATTGCGCGAGAGTTGAAATTAAAGTATCTAAGATAACGGCTAGAATCAAATCGAACAAATCGTGTTTAACGTAGAATTTCTCGAACATTGATTCAACAGTCGACGTGTTAACGAATCGGCCGCTGGATAGTCGCGAACGATCGTTAAAGATTTGAGAGATTTTAGGGGAGAAACAATTGCCGGGACTCGTTCTTTCGCGAGGGGCGTGACGTCAACGGCAACATTGTGCGACGATGTAACAAGCGCATATTATAACAGTGTAACGTGTCCACCGTGCAACGCTCATTCTGGGATAAGAGAACTGTTTGTATGATATACTTAATAGTTATATTTTTTTGATAATTGTACACGATTAGATCCAACTTCCTGGGAGAGAGTCGTTCGAGGCCCCCGGGGGGAGCAAAATTCTGTAATTCCGTGGAACGAACGAGCGTGTCTCTACCTTTAAGGTCGCTCTTGCGTGGAATCAAAACGGTAACGGGGGACGTGAATGCGAAAGGTCATTCTCGGAGGAATGGCCGTCGCTCGTTTGCGTGCACGGTCCGCGAGGGTGTACGGGCCCCCTTCGACCATTAAGGAAGCATCGCAGCATCGTTGATTTAACATTTTGGAAACGCGGTGTAGCTTCTCCTCGATACGTTGAAGAAGTGGCCAGGCCACGTTTCACGAGATTCGACGGGACCGTTTGCTACGATATGCGCACAAATCGATTAATTTATGGTCCGTTCGGCCCTCGAGCGTTCCAGGAACGTCGAGGGATGGAAATGGCGGACGATTATTTCGAGGGCTGCCTCGAGTCACGGCGGCCAAGAGCCGCCGACGAGTGTGTTTCAGTTATGGTTGAATTCACGAATGCCTTCTAAGTATCGGAGGAAGCACGTAACGGTTCTAAGCTTCGATTCACGCGAAAGACTGTATTGAGAATGCTGTTTTCCGTGGTCTTACTTGTCCCGCCATTACGACGCCGATATCGAATATTTTTTAAGCGATTTGTTGTCGGTCCTTCTGTACAATCGTTGAACGAAGAAGTGTTACTCATATTCGACGAAAGCGTAGACGGATATGTGATTTTAAATGTAAAATACGTGGTGTGTCGCGCACGAGTCACGATGCAGTGGTAAAACAGGTCTCGAAGCTATTGTTTGAACAGGATACACAGATGTGAAAGTCCAGTGCTTCGTCCGTGTGCTCTGCTTAAACCGCGGATCCGGGAACGAAATCGCGGCTTCTCGCGAGACCTCTCGTCTCGCGTTTCCGGCCGTACGAAGACATCGTTTCGTCGCGGAAACTGATCCATAAAGACGAGAGAACTCGCATAAACGTCCGCAGTTTGATCACGATGCCACACGGCCCCGGAAAGTATCGCGCGTATCCCAAACAGATATCCCTCGTTCGGTTTCGCGATCGGCAAGACGATTCTAATCGTCTGCGACGCGCACGTGCGCTTTATCGCCGATTTGATCGCGAACGAAACGCGATATAAAACCTCGTTGTTTCGCGTGCACGGATATCTCTCTGGTGTAATTACAGCACAGAATCTACGGTTTATATGGAAGTTTAACACCTAACGGCTAACCGTGAAAACCGTCGCGCAGCTCTAAAAATATTGGATCGAGTCGTAAATAACATCCGTTTCGTTCAACCGACATTTTTATTTTGTATTTCTTTCTTTATTGATTTGTTTCTTGTTCTTTCTTTTTCTTCTTCCTCTTCTTCTTCTTCTTCTTCTTCGTTTTATTTATTTCGAAGCATCGTCTATTCAGCGAAAGCAAAAACTCGTTTATCCCGGTGACTCATAGCGAGTAGACGCGAACAATAGATTCTACCCAGCTGCATCGAAAGTTATTTACGACTCGACCTATAATAGTTGCATCGAACACTATAGACTAAATGGTTCGATCATTATGTTCCATGCTTTATATCGACAAATTGCGTTTCATTCGTCATGTCGCGTTTTTTTACGAAGCGCCGTCCGACACCGTAGAACGATCGTGCACGCGTGAAAGAAGAAGAAGAAGCTTGGCGATCTCTGAAATGAACTTTAAGTATTCGGTTCGGTTGCTCCTGGTGATTCGTTAGTTTACGATTCGAGTGAACCTGGAACTCGGATTTGGACGTTCCGCGCGATACTTTCTGCGACACCGAATAGTCGATAAGTATTGTTCATTGGTATTGTTTCAGGGCTTTAAATAGTAAGCGTAGCGAGCCGTATAAATAGCGAACTATTTTTTATCGGATGAAGAAGAAAAACAAAAATGAATTCCCTCCGTGAGAGACGAAGAGAAAGGTCTTGGTCCAGATTATCCGTTGTCTGTTTCGGTTCGGCGAAAGACTGTGTGTCGTGGTTACAGGTCGCGACCGTTTCTAGGGTCTTCCCCGCCTTTTCGAATAGTTATGTAGCGCATGATTTAACAATCTCCGGTGCATGTCTTTATGATGTTATTCATCGTTGTTCCTGATTCTGCGATAGTTTTATATTTTTGTATTAACGGCGATCCGTTTCGGAGGTCCTCGCTTGCAGTTATTAATCGACCGCGGACGATCGCGCGAATTCACGATCCAAATCGAAACCGTGAAAGAGCACCGGGAATCGCTCGCAGATCGGCCGATCGTAATTATCTCGCGAGATTCCGCGATCACGGTTCGTTTAAGAATCTTCTTTTTTTTCTCTCTCTCTCTCTGCGCCGCCGAAAGTCCAATAGTAGCACGAATTACGGATTTTCACCGATCTTAGATTCGCATGAACGTCCGCCGTCCAATTATCGATCGTAAGATGTATACTTTAACCATTATTCTTTTTTTCCACATAAAATACTCAATCCCCTAAGTTTACTTTCATTTCCATTAAAGTTGAAATTGGTCCGTGGACCGGCATTTACAGGTGTATCATTTCCCCTGCCCGATTTTCTTTCGAATCCTCTCGCAACTGTTAGGCGCGCTGCCCCGGCAAAAGCTAAGAAACGAAGCATTCGAACCGAGAGATATTTTTCTTCGTTGTGCGCGCGATCGAGTACGCGGGAACCGCGTGCATTTTCACGCGCGTGCAGGAACACACGCGACGCTGACGTTCGCGAGGATTGCTTTGCTTCGTAACTTTTGTCAGCGGGCGACGAAGCTTCTCGTTACAAACGTTACAAACGCAAAAAACAAAGAAATCAAAAATCACAATATCGTATGCGTGTGCCACCCGATCGATCGAACGACGGAACTTTTTGTACGAACCATAACGATCTCGTTCGGAGCACCTCCGGAAACGAAATTTCCGGATCGAGTTTCGGGATCGAGATCGACAAAATTACGGTGTAACTGTTGTAAACGTTGACAATTAAGAAATACGATGAAACCAAAAATAAAGGTAATGGAAGAAAATGGAACTACGTTATAATAAAGTCGTAAATAACTTCTTCCAATCTAATTCTTTCCCGTTTCGTTGATAATGTGTAAATTACGCCCGGTTCCAACATCGTTATTATTCCACAACTCGCCGATAATTGGCGGTCTTGAAAATCTACGGAAACGTTGGGAAACATATAATTATACAATAACTGTAAAAGATAACATTAATTACAATTCCTAACATTAGCTTTGTGCGAAGTCGATGACCGAGTTCCCTCTTTCTGTTCCGCAAATTATTTTTAGCTGTTGTTTCGTTTATTTCAAACTTATACAAGCCGATGCATAGTATGATAGACGTCATTCTTTCGCCTAAAATAATTTCAATCGCTTGGTAAGGTTAAATAAAATCGTAATAATCCATGGCTTCCAATAATATTTAATCGAACACGATAAAATCGCAGAGAACACTCTTCGCTGTACGATCTGTTTTATTGTTCGATCGAATTCAATTTCAGGCGAGCGATTTGACGCACTCGTCGCGGCGGATCAATCACCAGGAAAGTACCTCGTCGACATGAAGGGTCTTCAGGATTGTCAGAACCTTCGACAGGAGGCTTATGTTCTTTATAATAACGCGAGGCCGGATTCCGTGGCAACGAGCGACCAAGAACCATTTGGAACCGATGACGAGGACACGGCAAAAAACGGCTACAATTGTGCCGAAGGCGGTGGGACCATTTGCGCATTGGACTTGAAGGGGCCGACGAGGATGTTGACTGACAACGAGGTCTATCAGGTCGTTTACGTTCCCTTCGACGTCAACAGCTACCCCTCGATCACGGATGAGATGACTGACAACAGATACAACGTTTACGGATGCCCGTACTACCCCACCTACTTGAGTAAGCCTAAAAATACGGTATAATTTCTCCCTAATTCGCGCTCAGATTTCGCACAAAAATAGGCTATTTGGGAAGAGGTGATACGATTATTTTTTATGGTTTTTATAGTTAGTTTTTATACCGATCGTCAACAAGGCTCGAATAATCGTATCTGCTCTTTCCAAATTGTCCATTTTTGCTAGCAATCTAAGCGCGAATTAGGGAGAAATTATTGTAATTCTTTCATTCGAACTTGATTCGCTAAAACTCATCGCTGAAGTTCATCAATTAACACTATAACCTACCGTGCCAGTCGAAACGACTGGTTTCACATTTTCTATTTGAAGAGATTATTGATATTATAAAGACTCTTTCGTAGGAGATTATTGAATATATTTTTTTATTCGAGCGCAGTAAGCATGAGGATAGGTTTAAATAAATTCAGCGTTGTCGTTTTCATAAATCAACACATTTAAATAAATTCAGCGCTGTCGTTTTCGTAAATCAACACATTTAAATAAATTCAGCGTTGTCGTTTTCATAAATCAACACATTTAAATAAATTCAGCGCTGTCGTTTTCGTAAATCAACACATTTAAATAAATTCAGCGTTGTCGTTTTCATAAATCAACACATTTAAATAAATTCAGCGTTGGCGTTTTCACATATCAACATATTTAAATAAATTGACCACTGCATTCAATTCGTCCCGTTGCTAACATTCACGGATAATAAAAAATAACATAATAATAATAATAATAATAATTTTATAATATAACATTTATGGATATCATAAAAATGGGAGTGAGAGACATCTTTAACTGAAATCGGCAATTACTTAGTTGCCAACCCAATAGATTGATACACATTAGCGAATGAGAGGTCAGGGTTATTTAAAGGGTTACTACATTGCGGACTTCGTGCGCTATCGACAAAAACTGACGAATGGAAAACAATTAGATTAAAAACCATAGATTGAAAGAGTTTAAACAATATTGTTACAACAACCGTGTCGTTGAAAAAAGAACCATCACATGTTTGCCAGTTCGTGTTGGAAAGTTTTATTGTTAAAAAAAGATTCGAATGTATATTAATAAATTGGTAATTGCAGGTACGAAACAGGACGGAGCGAAGATCGCGCAGATCAATGACATGACATTCAAATATCCGACATCTCCGCTGTTATCGCAGCCGGAGAACACACCGGAAGAGGCAATTTGCACCGTCGAAACGCGCTCGAAACAATGCACAGTCGATACACCGTTGTTCTGCGAGTGCGTTCAGACGATCGAGATTGCTCCCAAAAAGACTATCGAAATTATATTTATAGATCAAGGTGAGAATCCTCGAGAAATTATTTTATCGCTCTGAACATTTTTCTTCTGAACATCTTAGAAGACGCACATGTTATATAGAATATTACATCTATGTTATAAAGAATATGTTACATTGTACATAATTTTTATATTATGTTATGAAAGCAAAAATTGTTATTGACACGATGATTCTGTTTCAGGTTTCGGCGGAAACACGTCGCACACGTTCCATATGCACGGTTACCACGCAAGTATTGTAGGAAGGGGCAATTTCCAACAGCCGGTTACCAAAGATGAGATTATGCGTTTAGATTATGAGGGGAGGATCGAACGGAATTTAGTAGATCCACCAAAAAAGGACGCTTTCGTTGTGCCTAACAAGGGTTTCGCTATACTTCGCTTTTTTAGCGATAATTTAGGTAACGACACGCTCAAATTATACAGGGTGTCCCAGGTTTTAATGTTCAAACTTTGTCAGTATATTCTATGGCACAAAGTAAGAAAAAAATGTCATATAGAGCTTTATTAAGAAGTTATAACAAAAATTCGTTCAAAATGAAATGAAAGAGAATAGAAACGAAATTCTCACGGTCATAAATTCGATCTTCGATCGATGTCAATCATGTATTGTCAACAACGGTAAACATTTCGAAATGTATTAATAAACACAGCTTACATAAACGCACGGCATGTGCTGATCTATTCAAGCCAATGCTCGCACAGTAACAGCAAGTTGATTACTATTCCTATTCTGAAGTTTTGTTATAACTTCTTAACACGTTTCGTGCCACGTGTACCATCGATGGTACACGCTTGCATGTTTACTTAGTGAACTGAACAAATTGTTTTCAAGAAATTTAGAACCGAAGAATCAATTTCCACCGCAAGAATGGGCGTTGATAAGTTTTTGTTATGTTGTTATGTGTACGAGAATTAATAATTGCACGTAATACATCAAGTTTTAGTAAAATATCAAAGTGTGAAGATTCGAGTAAA